AACAACAACAACAACAAGTGCCTAAGGCATTTGACTGCTAACCAGAAGGCTGGCAATTCTAACCCACCAGCCACTCCTTGAAAGGAAGATTGGTCAATCTACTTCTGTAGAGATACTGCCTCAGAAACCCAAGGAGGGGTCCCCATGAGTTGGAACCCACTCTGCTGCAGTGAGGTTTTTTTTTTTTTAACCTTAATTTAAATTAGAAAAGGACACACTCAGGGAAGTTCTGTAGTTCTTTGTGTGAGCATAACCTAATTTCAACCACACCCTTCCTGAGCGCTGCCACAATGTTGAAGGTCAGAAAGAACTCAACTGGCATCTGAACTTATGTCAAAACTCAAAATGGAGTTTAGGCTTCCACTGTAGACCACAGCCATCCACAAACCAAATGCTTTAGAATTTAAGCTCTCTTACAGGACTAGGGCACTCAGTTCAGCTACTGGCCAGCTGTGCGACCATGCCTCAGCCACTTGACCTCCTTGGTGACCACCTCTGTAAACTTGGGGGAAAAAAAAGGGGGAAACTAACATTTATTGGATATCAAGCATGTGCTAGGAATACTTACATTTTAGTTAATCCTCAGGATTACCCTGTGATGTGCTATTATTATCCTCATTTTTGCTGATGAGGTAGTTGAGTCTTGGAGGGGTTAAGTAACTTGCCCAGGGGCACAGAGCTAGTTAGAGGTGAAACTGGGACTTGAGCTCAGCCCTATCCATGTTCTTTTTAGCACTCCTCACTGGATAAAGTGATCCCCTCCATAGTTATTGTAGAGTATTTTCATAAAGCAAGAATTATAAAGAAGAGAATGGAAATCACCCTACCTACTTTCCACAGCCCTATAAACAACCACTCCTCATACGTGCACACACATGTATCCCTTTACACACATTTAATCAAAACTGGAAGTATAATTCCCTTTCTACTTTGGCAGACTGTCTTCATGGGGTTGGCATCCACTCATTCACTGATAGCTTCAGTCAAGCTTTGAATTTTTCCAAGCTCTGATGTTCTGGATTCCTAGAGGTAGTGGAGAAAACAAGCTTCTTTTGTAATATCTTTCTTCTCTTTCTGTATTACCAGGATTTCAGCACCTCTCTTCCTAAACAGGAACAACTTTTGAGCTTGGCTGGAAAGAGCCTTTTCTGGAGTGAGGAGGACGTGGTCCAGGCCACCAACGACTTCAGCCAAAACCACAAAATCAGTGAGGGTACCTTTGCTGTCAACTACAGAGGGCAAAGGCATGGCATGCCATTTGTTTTCAAGAAGCTCAGTGAGGTAAGTGCTTCTAAATTTCTAGTAAAGGGTAGAAGTTGCCTGGGTGAGGTTGAGTTTTTATGTTTCAATGTCTTTTTCCATAGGTGGCCTGTGCAAGCCCAGGATCAATTGAAAGATTTTTCCAGGTGGAGATGCAGGTTTGTCTTAGGTAAGCCTCCTCTTGGAAAACACTTTGTTTAATAATAATGATAGCTAACCTTTCTATAGTGCTTCCTGTGCACCAGGTGTGTTTTAAGGACTTTTATGTATAACTCATTTAATTTTCACAATAACTCTATAGTGTAGCTACTATGATTACATTATTTTTCACAGGTATAAAATGAGGCACAGAGAGGTTAAGTGTCTTGTGCAAGGTCACACGGCTAGCAAATGGTGGAGTTGGAATCTAAATCCAGGTGCCCTGGCCCCAGAATCCATGCTTTTTTATGTAGCTACTTGTATGAGACCAAAGAAGAGTTGATGCCTTTGAACTGTGGTGTTGGTGAAGAATGCTGAAAGTACCATGGACTGCCAGAAGAACAAACAAATCTGTCCTGGAAGATGTGCAGCTGGAATGCTCCTTAGAAGGGAGAACAGCCAGACTTCGTCTCACCTACTTTGGTCATGTTGTTAGAAGGGATCATTCCCTGGAGAAGGATATCATGCTTGGTAAAGTATAGGGTCAGCAAAGGAGAGGACCCTCAACGAGATGGATTGACACAGTGGCTGAACCTCACCTCACCTTTTCTAGGCTATAGGGTGTGCAGACTTGAAAAACACCCGGCCTCTGTCTTGGAGAAGTTTATGATCCAGTTGAGAGACTGATATATAAATAGCTAACTCTAATGAGCATGAAAATCATGAAGTAGGATGCATTGAGGGGAGTGGAAGAGGGCACAGAAGTCAGGTGGGAGACCATTTGCTCTGGGGAGAACACTAGCTCTGGGGAGATTTAATCAGGGTCTGGCCTAAGGCAGAAGAGAGGGGAGTGAGGAGGAAAGTTTGAAAGCCATTTATGACAATGAGTGTAGACTAATTAGATGAAGGAGGTAATGAGGCTGAAGTGAGGGCTCAAGCATAGCAAGAATTGTGAAGATGGTGCAAAACTGGGCAGTGTTTTGTTCTGTTGTACATAAAGTAGAGTCATTATGAGTCAGAGCCAACTCCATGGCACCTAACAACAACAGCTTGTATGCATTGATTAGAATTTTAAAGGAACCTTGATTCACTTAGCCCAACTCCTTTTTTCCAAGTTTTGTCCCATTTTCAGGGATGGGGTAGAGACTCAGTGACTCCAACTCTATATAGCCCTGTAGACTGGGGGTCAGCAAACTACGACCTGCTGGCTAAAATCTGCCTGCTGCCTCTTTGTAAAGCCTGCAAGCTAAGAATGATTTTCACATTTTTATTTAAATGGTTGAAAAGAATCAAAAGAAGAAGAATATCTTGTGACACATTAAAATTATGTGAAATTCAAATCACAGAGCCCATAAATAAAGTTTTATTGACACACAGCCACATTCATTCATTTACATATTGTCTATGGCTGCTTTTATACTTTAACACAGAAATGAATAGCATTATAGGCAGTTAGGCACTTAGGTTAAAGCCTAGCATGGGGTGAGAGATACAAGATTTGAGAGTGTTCCTCATAAAGGCAAGGAGCCCTGGTGGCACAATGGTTCAGCACTTGTGTGCTGACTGAAACGTCAGTGGTTCTAAACCACCAGCTGTTCTGTGGGAGAAAGATGTGGCAGTCTGCTCCTATAAAGATTACAGCCTTAAAAAACCCCTGAGGCAGTTCTTCTCTGTCCTGTTGGGTTGCTATGAGTCACAAGTGACTTGATGGAAACAGGTTTGTTTTGTTTTTTTATAAAGGTAGGAGGTAACTGGAGGAGCAGCAGATGAAACAAGATGCTGGGCCTGGCAGAGGGTGCTTATATCTCAGAAGAAGGCAGAGAAGGAGGGTGTTAGTGAAAAAGACCAAGAAAGAGTAGTTAGAGAGGTAGGAGGAGAGTCAGGAGGGAATGATGACTCGGAACTCTATGAAGGTGATTTTGGGAAGAACCCCATTCCTGAAGTCAGGACTTGAACAGACCTGGGATCTGGTCCTGGCTTCTCTGCTTGCTAGTTTGTGACCTTGGGCAAGTTTCTTAACCTCTAAGGCTCTGTTTCTGGAAGATAGAATAGTTAAGGTGTAAATACTGCATAGCAGTGAGGCAGGATGAGGATCACTAGTCTTGGAGCTCCTTGAGGGCAGGCAATTTTCATCTTTCTGCCCTGGTGCCCTGGGTCATAGCATTTGTTACCTGGGAGGGGACTGCTGGTCTCAGGGGAATAGAGAAGGAAGAAGAGGGATTTCAGGGGTGGGAGGAGAGGATGCTGAAGAGCCTTTTATTATTCTTTTTGTCTGTCTCCTCACTCCTACGTTAATGCTTGCTTTCAGATGCTGCCACCCCAATATCTTACCTCTGCTTGGCTTCTGCACTGGAAGAGTGTTTCACGGATTGATCTATCCCTACATGGCAAACGGTTCGTTACAGGATAGACTCCAGGGTGAGGTAAGGCGCTGATCAGAGAAGTCATGATCAGAGAACAGAACCAGGCAGCAACTAGGTAGGGAACTTAGGGTTAAGGACTTAAGGAGCCCAGAGGGGAGAGAGGCCATCCAGGAGAGACCCAGAAGGCTCAAGGAAAAGTTGAGCCTCGATAGATAATATCTGATAAATGTGCTCAGATAAAAACCTATAAAAAATTATTTGAGAAGAGACATCTCATTTAAGTCAAGAATAAGATAAGAGTGTTCCATAGCACTCATTTTATTCCACATTGCTCTGGAAGTCTTAGTGCAGTAGGACAAGAAAAAGAACTAAGCCATAAAAAAATGGTGGAAAAATAAGAGGCAAAATTTTATTATAAAATGTTATTCCAGTCTATCAGCAGATGGATGGATAAACAAAATGTGATACACACACACAGGAATGTTCTTTAGCCATAAAGAAAAATGAAGTTGTAATACATGCTAAAACATGAATGAACCCTGAAATATTATGCTGAGTAAAATAACCAGATGTAGACAAATATAATTTGATCCTACTTAAATGAAATATATAGGCTAGGCAATGACTAGAGACAATGTGTTAGTGATTACCAGAGACTGAAGGGAGCAGGGAAATGGGAAGTTACTGCTTATTAGATAGAGCTTCTGTTTAGTGTGATGAAAAAGTTTTGGAAATTGAGAGTGGTCATGAGTGTCCAACATAGTGACTGCAGTTAAAAATGGTCAAAGTGGCACATTCTATGAGAGAACATATATATACATATATATGAATATATATGTATATATGAGAACACACATATACATATATGTACATATACATGTATATGTATGAAAACATATATACGATACGATATGAACATATATATGAGAACATATATACATATATATACACACACACACACACACACACACACACATAGGAGCTCTGGTAGCATAATGGCTAAAGCACTTGACTGCTAACCAGACGGCTGGCGGTTCAAACCCACTAGCCACTCCTCGGAAGGAAGATTGGGCAATCCTACTCCCGTAGTGATACTGCCTCGGAAACCCAAGGAGGGGTCGTTATGAGTCGGGGCCGACTCAACGGCACATAACAACAACAACAACAACATATATACACATATATATGTATATGTATGTTCTCTCATAGAATGTGCCGCTTTGACCATTTTTAACTGTACAGTCACCATGTTGGGCACTCATGACCACTCTCTAGATAATATATAATGTAATATATATATATTTTTAACCACAAATTTAAAAAAAAACACTTATAAAGAATTTTTCCCAATATATACCTCTTTGCCACACATTAATGGAATATGTCTGGAAAGATATATAAGAAACTGGTATATTAGCTGTCTCTGGAGAGGAGAACTAGGTAGTTAGGACACAGGATGGGAGGGCAACTTGTACTATATATAGAGAGTTTTTGTGCGTTTTTGAATAGTATGTATGAATGTAATATTTATTAAAATACATAATTTTTAAAACAAAACAACCCCCTCTTCATAAATTCATCAAATAGAGGAGAGTTATTCCATAAAAGAATTACCACCTCCTGTAGCAGGGACCAGACAAAGCAGTTATTCCTGGTATAATGCTGATTGTTAGCTATTCAGAGCCCTCACTGTTACCCAGACACCACAATGAGGGCTTTCCATGTGTCTTCTCCTTCCATCCTCACCCCAACCCAAGAAGGCTCCCCACTCTCCAAAAGAGAAGTCTCTGTACAAGAGAGCTAAAGTGAATTAGACAAAAGCACACAGCTGATAAGTTCCAGTAAGCTTTGAATTGGATTTGTCTGGTTCTAGATGTCAGGGTTTTTGAGAAGAAAACTTAAGTGATGGTCAGGACCAGTTCTTACAGGATATGGGGCCTAAGACAGGCCTTGAAAAATAGGTGGTGGTTTAGCCTGGGAGGTTCAGTCACAGAACCACAGTGGCAGCACCTGGGCACAGGTGGGGAGGCTTTAGCCCACTCCATAATCATCAGCCCTAGTGAAATCTGCCCCAATACACACAAAGTCAGCATAAAGACAGTGTGCCTGGTGTGCAAACACAAGCTCCCTAGCCCCTCTGCCATCCAGACTGCTGCTCCTAAGCCCCTTCTATGAACAAATTACAGAGGTGCCACTATAATAGTCACAATAAAAAAAAAAAAAACTGCTGTTTCTTGAACACCTACTATGTAGCAGGTGCTATGGCAGGAGCACAGTCCCTTGGTGTATACTGCCTGTACGTGAATCCTTACAACACTAAAACATGGAGATTGATACTGCCATCAGTATCAGCGAGGAAACTGAGGCTCAGAGATGTTAAGTATATTTTCCAAAGTCACACAGCTAGTACAACTAGTGCATGTCTGAGCTGGGATGGGGATATTTGGTGTCAAAACCCATACCCTTGCTGCAGAGGACATGAGGGCTAGAGGAAATCCAGGAGCCAAGGGGGCCCTGCCTGCCATCTGGACTTGAAAAGGCACAGGTGTGAGTATATCTCTTCCTTTATTTCTTTCCTTCAGGGCGGCTCAGACCCCCTGCCCTGGCCCCAGCGTGTCAGCATCTGCTCGGGGCTGCTTCAAGCTGTGGAGCACCTGCATGGCCTAGACATCATCCACAGCAACATCAAGAGGTGAGAGCCAGCCGGACCGTCCAGGCTAGGGCTGCAAGGATGAGAACAACACATGTTCTCCTCCCTCTCCCTTTGTCTCCCTGCTCTTGGGTGTCTTTTTTCAGTATCTGTGGATTGTGCTTATTCTCGGATAATGCTCAGAAGGAACTGCCTGCTTGTCACCACTATTGTCTTTCTAACAAGATTATTTTCCCATAAACAATCCACCCCTATGATATATGGCACACCCCACTCAGTGGCTGGTCTACACCCACTTGGTGCCTGAGCTCAGTGCCAAGCCCTCTAGGATTTTAAGCTCTTCTCAGGGTCTTCTCAGAGATCTGTCCCTAACTTGTGTATCTGTTGGTGAAAGCAGTCCTGTATCAGGGAGCTTCCTGCAGGTTAGGTGTGTACCCCTGCACTTCATACCACCCTGCTCCAGCCAAGAACACAAGATCCCTTCCTGGGGCCTGGCCGCATGGTGAGAAATTCCAGAAAAATACCAGCATATCTGGCGAAACTGGCTGTGGAGCCAGAGAACTCACACTTCCCCAAAGTTCTCTCTCCATGTGACATAGCCCCTTTCCTCTTCTGTCTCCCCTAATTTTCATTTTATTAAATAAAGAATTGTATCAGCAAGACAGGAAATAAAACAGTAAGAGATCATGACTGACCCTATACTACAGCCTTGACTCTTCAGCTGGCCTCTGCTTATCTGTTTCATTTTTCAGTCCCTGCCCACACACAACTCTTAGCCCTAATGTAGAGTGGTTACCTAGCTACCAATTCATGTCCTGTTTTTTTCTCCCTTCATTTAAACATGGTAAATATGTTCCCACATTACACATCATCATTTTTAGTGACTTCTTAGTATTCACTGTGGGGATGTGACCACAATTTACTTAACTATAGTGGTTATAGGTCTCTGGATGGTACAAATCGTTTGGTCTTGGCTACTATCTGAAAGGTCGAACATATCCAGCTGCACCATGGAAGAAAGACATCCTAATCTGCTTCTGTAAAAAGTACAGCCATTATTGCCCTGAGATACTCTTTAAATTTGTAACTGAACCCACTCCCAGAGGTCACCTTTCAGCGAAATAATAGATTGGTTCATAAAATAAACAATATCACCCCTGAGTACAGTGTTCCTTTTTTTTTTTTTTTTTTTTATTAGG